GAGAGTGAAAACTTTTTGCGATTCTATGCTGAGAAGGCTTCAAGAGAGATCACCAGTTGGATGGTTTCTCTTGGCTTTTCAGGAACCATATAAGCATAAGCATATATGACTTTGTCGAACTTATATATGCTTATATGGACATGGAGATTTTTGGTTAGTGCTGTAGGTAGCTGAGATTTACCTGGGTATTATAATGTAAATGTCAAAAAATGTAAATCCTTTTATTGTCCCACAATGGGGAAATTCACTCTCTGCATTTAATCCATCCCCTTGGGGAGCAGTGGACTGCCATTGTGTGGCGCCTGGGGAGCTGTGTCGTGTTAAGGGTCTTGCTCAGGGACTCACAGAGCAGATGGTGGGGATTTAACGGGGTACTTACAATTTCTCAGAGCACACGCGCACTGCTCTAACCACTAGACCAAGACTCCCCATGATAAAGGAGAATTTTGTAAATTATATTTTATTGTTTTTTTGTGATCAATGATACAGTAAAAAATAGACTAGCCAGATGAAGGTTGATAAAAATTCAACTTCAACTAAACTTTTCAAGATTAGGGATTTACCTCTAGCTCGTCAGCATTGGAGGTAATGGGAGAACCACTTGTATGTTCTTATTTTCGCCACCTGCTGGACTATGGGTGTAGCACAGTTTCTTTTGGCTGCTTATACGAGGCTGTTAGGGAAATGGGAAAGCACACTGATAAATGACCTGGTATTCCTAATAGCCCCTAGGGCTTTCAATCCCAGCGCTTGAATAAGCAAAATTTTGCACCAGTTTTTTAGCTTTTTGACTTTTTTGAAGTTCCATAAAAAGTCATATAAAATTAGATAAAAACAATCCACCTGGCTTTTTTTTCCAAGTTTGAATACATTTCGCTTCCCATCCAGGAAGCAATTCAAAATGTCAAAATTAGCATTGAGTACGAAACTTTATAGAATGGACCAAAATAAAGCCTTGTTTTGGCTTAGAAAAATGTCAAATTTAAACAAACTAACAGGTCCGCCCATTAGGAATGGGGGTCGTTTGGGTTCTTTGATAGCCTGCAATACTTGAAAAAGCTTCTTGGATGGCAAGTGAAACGTTTTCAAACTTGGAAAAGTCCAGTGGATCTTTTTATTTTTTTTTTTGGAATGACTATGACCTCGATGACTGAGAATCTTCACCAGCACTTTTCTGAGGTGCTTTTTAGGATCTTTCTGGTTTTACTGTTTGTAAAAGTAAAAACGTGGGAGCACTTTTAGATAAAGGATTTTCTTTATCTGCGGCCCCTCCTGAGCTTTACTTGTTTAAATTTTGTCCTGAGTATCTAATATATTCCTCACCTACCAGAGAACAATGATTAAGGGATTAGATTATTCAAATCTGTCCTGACCTAACATTTAACATTTTCAAGCAAGAATCCAAGAAGGTTTGTAGCATTTAGATATATTACCACACAGCAAGAATATCCAGAGAAGACTGTTAATCCAATAAAAAATTGCGTTAGGCCTTTTGTTTTTTAAAACAACAGGAAACTAGGGTTGAAAAGGTAAAGATGAGAAGCTGTTCCATTTGAGGAGGCTTACAACCAACAGTGAACTGGAGCATAGAGGTGAGACCAAGTCATTGTTTTTCATTTACCCCTTTTTGACAGCACTGAATGATAGGACCCTCTTTTACTGGACACGAACAGGTAGAACAACACAGCAGACAGATGCAATTGCCATGTTGTAGAAGCGAAAGCAGTCAACTGGAAAACAGCAGGGGTGGGGGAGGTGCACTTAGCAGGCAGAGTAGCACACCTGGCTCCATCTTTGCATGGCCAGTTCTTTTCCTTTGTACTGTACAACACACTTTTTGTTTGGTCTATGAGATCAAGTTAAGGTGAAGTCCATTATTCACTGTTTTGAGAGTACATATCAGCCCCAACAATTTTTACAATTCCTTCAAATTGGGTCTAAAGTCATCAAAACTGTGACTGCGGTTTGACTTGTTTCTAAGTTATGACACCTTTGGCATTAGGAGCACAAAGTACTTTTAAATTGTTTTCTCTTTTTTTTTTTTCCGATTAAATACCAAAACTGCTTTCACATGCATGTGACATAACTCCAGTAAGATATTTCAGTCATGTAGGATCCTTGGACACAAGATCTAATTAAAACCAAAATGCAGATTTTTGCCATCATAATCATCACTGCAGAGAAAGTATAAAGTCTACAACCTTGTTTTTTAACATTGTACTAAAATTGCACTAATAATAGCCATTATTATTAGGTTCCCACAACAATTAGTCGGTACTGGCGGTGTGCAACTCTTAAGAATCCAAAAAAAATCATGTACACAGAAGCAGTATTTGATCCATAAATTCTGAGGATCAAACATTCCCTTTAAACAACTGGTGTCCAGCATTGAGGCCAAGTAGCACAGTCTCAAATTTCTAAGCACTGGACAAACCAATGTTTTAGATATTTTAATCTGTAGATCAGACATTATGTTACCAGCGATTCTGCAGATACATTTCCATTTAAAGAATCAGTGTGAAAGAGGTTTAATGGAAGGTATGGATAATAAGAGCCAAATTAAGCAAAAACATAAATGCATACATAGTTTCAAAGCAGGGTGATATAAACAACAACATGATATATTGTAGTAATATATAGAGGGTTATGGACCTCCATGCCCCACGTATTTTTATTAATGCATATCACTATGGCAACAGCTCAAAGCCATTTCAGCAATATTAAACATAAAAGGTTTTCAGTTCTAAGAGCAACATTTTGATGCAATTTTACCAGTGTGGAACATCACAAGTCATTTGGAGGTTTTATGCCATCAGCAGAAAGCCACACACACAATGCATTTAGTCTTTCAGTAGCACTCTCTGCAGCTATAATTAAGTGAAAGCTTCAAAGCCTACTAAATCTATCTCAATACAAAACGCAGATGGATAACTCTATCAGTTTAGGTTGTGATTGATGAAAAGGGAAATGAAAACAGCAAATAAATAAAATGACAAGCGGTCAGAAAAAAAGGTCAATAGAAAATAGTTAAGTCATTTGAGCCTATATTGGAAGCAATGTACTCAGATTACATCTAGACACCAGATGGACTGAGCACTGACGTGAAAGCAATAATATAAGACGAAGCGAAGGAAGAGAGTAATGAGGGAAGGAGGAGAGTCAGTCTAAGAATAGAAGTAAAACCTCGAGCCAGCACAATCGGTCAGCCCTAGGTGCTATATTTTAACTTTACTACTGTGTCAGCCACACATCAGACATCTCTAATCCCTCTCTGTTTCACTCTCCTATCTGCAAAAATGAAAAGCCAACAGTATAAATGTCTGGTATGTATATTTAACTGAACCACCGGATTCCTAAGATTTAGTACTTCTCAAACTGCTGTATGTCATCTGCAGAGGAACTTTATTTATCAGCTTCAAAGCATAAACTTTAACGTAATAGCACATCTATCAATCTGGATTCAAATCTTTAGGAAACAATAAATACTTAAAAGACTAACTGGAAAAAGAGTGTCGCAAAGCTCTACACCTCATGGCATGTTGTCATTTTCCAGCAACAAAATGGTGATGGTGACGAACGCAGATTAGTGACACATGCTGGTGGTGTCATCCTGCTTAAGGAATCATATCCTTCTAGAGCAAGGGTCTGCAACCTTTAAAATCCAAACCTTTAAAAGCCATTTTGCTCCATGTCCAAATTGAAAGTTTAGAGCCACAATCACTATATAAGCTTTTAATAAAACACAGCTTTGTTTTTAATTATGAAAACACACTTTATTTTTGTTACAGTAAATATGTCATAGGAAATTCTTCTGCCATTTTTAAAGAAGAACAGTTTGTTCGTATTTTTGGTTTCTAAAATAAGGTAAAATAAAATGTTTCAAAATAAAACATGAATTTTCTTCTATAGGATATTTTTTTGATGTAGCAAATTTTTTTTAGATTCAATCATTAGATGAAAATAATTAGATTAATGAATTTTATTTTTGATCCACAAAAGCTTCTAAGCTTCTGTTACTATACTACAATATATAAAAAATGTTAAAACTGTAAATATACAGTCCTATGTTTATATTACTTTGTTTTTATGTATTTATTACAGTTTTTAAGGCTGCACTTAAAAAAAAATTAAATTGTCAAGCTGTTTTAAATGAAATTTATTTTTGTATACACTCATGTATACAAAATGACAAAATAAATCTGTCGAAGTGTTATATGTCCCTTTAAATAATTTTAAGTAACTATTAAGAGCCATTGTAGGTGTTCCAAAGAGCCATTTATAGCTTCTGGGCGGCGCTTTGCAGATCCCTATTCTAAAGACTTAGAAAAACAACCCAGAGTTGATGGAAAGATAGATGGAGCTAAATACGGGGTGATTCTGGAAGAAGCCTTGTTAGAGGATGCAAAAGTTCACCCTCTTGCAGGCAGGGTTTGCATGTCCCTGGCAACTATATATTTAGTCATGGTAAGACCTGCACTCTAAACTTGAACATTATATTTATGATGACTAGGTATAAACATCGATTAACATGAAAGATTAATATGCATAACTCAAAGGCTCTGATGCAATTAGTTTAAAAAATATTTAGATTTTTCTGGACTTGTTTGGGCTTACAGTGTGGAAATGACTGCTCTTCTGCCAACAGCTGCTTTGAAAACAGAAACAGGCAAAACACACGGGGTCTGAATGCAAATTAAAGCCCTTCTGTTATGGATTGTGTTTGTAAAAAAAAAAAAAAACTATAAACAATCTTTTGACATTTTCCTTCCACTTTACTTTGATCCCACGAGTGTGAAAACTTTAGCAAAGCACTGTAGTAAGTAGCTGTGGTTTCAATTCACGCTTTCATGAAGCCTTTTCCTTAATCTGGGTTAATCTCTCAAGGGCTTGGAACTCAAGGACGCATGAGACAAAATTGGAATTTCAACAGAACATAGGCGATACGTAGCTCTAGGAACCAGTTTTGTACATGGAAGTACTCATGCCCACTTTCAACTTACCACAGTCTCATCAGAAAACGGTGCTCCATGTTTTATATAGAAGAGGACAGCACAATAATCTGGTACCAGTCAGTCTGAGGGAAAAAGAGTAGAGAGAGACAGAGAGAATCATCAGTAAAGCACACCTAAGACAAACCTCACATTATGCATCACACTGTTTCTGACAGTTAGTATTTAGCCCCATGTCCCTCCTCTTGCTTCATAGTGCCCATCCCTCTGTAGTGAGAAACATACCTCTCCCCATAAGCTCTGACCTGTAAATGGGTCCCTGGTGGTTGCCTGTAATGTGGTGGAAAATCTGCGCCTGTGTGCTCCTTTTTTTTTGGGTCCCAAAACAAGAAGCTCCCCCGACTGCCTTACTAACACACTTCAGCTCCCCGCTGTTCTGAGTGCTACAGGCCCTAGAGCTAAAAACGGTGGGACTGCAGGAGGATATAAAAAAAAGCAGAGGAGGGAACAGCAGTAGAGGGAAATTTGCCACAGAGATACAGAAGCAAAGAAAAAAAATGTCTAAACCAGCCTAATTGAGAGGGTGCTGCCTCCAGTTAAATCCTTAAGCTAGCATGTGTGAAATGATTTTCAGGTTTAAAGACAAGACGATAAAAACAAATAGTGTTTCTTCATGCAGAGAGCTGCGAAAAAAAGTTTTTTTTTGTCATTTTTGTTTGTGTTATAGCTTTTTTTTAAATACTTCAGCATAGTATCAAAGGTAACATAAGCAGAGACTAAAAGCAGTCTTTGAATAATGAATCTTTCCAAATCTGACATGAACTGTAAAAATACTTATGCTCCTGCTTGTTAATCAGTAATTTTCTATAATTAAATAAATACATTTCTGTCTGAGTGGTATCTGATTACTGCAAGACCAGCAGAATCACGGAAATAATTAATAAGAACCTGTCTCAGAGTTTAAGGTAGGCTTAATTAAAGAAATAAAAAATCAAGAAATCCTAATCTGAAGACTTTCAAGTAAATAAATCCTAACTGGCATCAACTAACGTGGAAAGCTGTATAAAACAATTAGATCAGATTAGATTCAACTTTATTGTTATTACACAGGTACAGGTACAAGGCAACGAAATGTAGTTTAGGTTTAACCAGAAGTGCAATACAGTAGCAGCAAGCGCAGGATAAATAATGGTTTCATAAATACAGGATATGGGTTTCTACTGAATAAGTACAGAGATAAATACCATTGTAAACAGAATCGTACTAATAGATAAATGTAATATATAGATAACTAGTCTTATGAACTAAATTTACAGCTGGATATGTACCGAATATAATACACAGGTGGATATTACTATGATAATATTACTAAACAATGTCCAATGTTTGAGGATACCAATGAACAACAGAGAAAGCTATTATCCACAACTAAAGAACAATGATGAGCCTTCCTACGGCTGGCCTGGTACCAAAGACACTGCATAAGCAGTTCAAATACTTATCCAAAAGTCAAGGATAAATCCAGAAAAATAGCATAAGTGCTGCAGGCCTCACTTACTTCAACTAAAATCATTGCTTATTATTATTAAGGAGAGATTTGAACCAGTTGTGCCACCAGGCGGTGGAACAGGGGTGGCCACAGCCACCCTGTGCAAAGCCCTGGCCACCCCACTGGCCACCCCACTCACAAGTGTGTGACAGTCTGGAACACTGTCTGGAACACAGTTTTTTTTTTAGCAAATCACCCTTGAGACAAATTTTGAAGCTTCTGGGAGGTGTTCCATGCATTACATCTGTCAAAGAACTGAACACAGCATTTCAGAAACAGAATTCAATTCAATTCAGTTCATTTATATAGCACCAATTCACAACACATCATCTCAAGGTACTTTACAGTTCACCAGATCATACAGTCAAATTGATACAAAGTTTTCTATCTAAGGAAAACCAATTGCATCCACTTATTGACTCAAATGAAATCCATCACATTAAGCATGCATTAACGACAGTGGAGAGGGAAAACTCCTTTTTAACAGGAAGAAACCTCCAGCAGAACCAGACTGAGTGTGAGCGAACGACAGAAGCAGAGATACAAAAAGCAGCTGTATAAGGCGGCCCCATCCAGGAAACACACAGCCAGGCAGACGAGCTCCGAGCCAGCTCCCATGTCAGAGGATGAAGAGAGCACATCCAGCCAGTCACAGTCAGTGAAACAGGACTACACTGAAAAACAGGCAGATTTCCAACATCTATAGATCACATGAACAATCAAACTTCAGTAACAAGCAGTAGTCTTTGGTTTTACATAGAGATCATGCTTGTTTGAACAGCAGGGAAGAAAACACTTTTTTTTTCTTACACAGGCTATTTTTTGTCTTTTATACAAATTTGCTTAGTGACAAAAGATATTTCATTACAAAACAGAAGAAGAAGCAGAAACAAAAGTAACTGAACGTGGGAAAATGCTGTTTAATAGCAATGCAGAACATGTTTGTGTCTGCAACTGTTAATACCACACTGAGCTAATTATTACACAAAAAGAAAATTGTCATACACCCCCCGCCACTGCATGCTATGGAAGCTAAGAGCTACAAAGCTAACTGCAATCATAACAAAAGATGCCACAGGGTTCCACGTGCTTTGTTAATATTCCATTATCTTTAGCATTACCATAGTGATTACTGAACGTCTTAACTACCATGGCTTTTTTTTTTTTTATCCTGTGCCTCATTAAAACAAGCGTTCACCCTCAGCGTGTGTTAGTTCTGGGTTCCATAGCAACCATGGCTAATAAACAGGCCACACCACCTCTGTTTGAATCATCTTTAAGAAGATGTTCCCTTTCAATTCCCTAACCTCACAACAAGAGTTTGATTTCATTTCAGTTGTGATCAACTTGTAATTATGTCTTGCAAAGCACAATCGAGATTTGTGATCTGCAGTTGCACCTAAGGACCGCAGGACACCGTCTTTACAAAAGGGTTTTAATATGCATTGTACGACACGACACACAGGAGGCTCCACCGCGGCCGCTCATCAAACAGAACATGGCAGATGCTCTCACAGGCTCTTATTGATTTTCAGGAAAAGTGTGTAATGTATGTAGGTGTGCGCGTTAAGGTGTACATGTGGTGCGCACGTGCATATGGCTGTGATGTGTCGCTAGCTTGCAGCAGAGATAATTAGAACACAACTCTTTTGCTGTCCCTGCAGGCCACTGATCCAGCTGCTTTCATCTAATATAGGTCAGCTGTGACAAAGCCCTCAGCATGGACACTGATCTGCTCTACTAGCTCTCACATACACACAAAAGATGAAATTAAAACTCCTACGCAAGCACACACACACATATGATTAGATATGCTCACTGCATGCTGCTGGCACGTACAGTATGTGTACTGCTTATATAGATGTACATGCACAGCAGGTAACAGTTCAAAGGATGTCCCTAGGTGTACAATGTGGCCTTCTATGAGAATACAGTCAGGAGGTCAAATAAGTAATTTAAAGTCAGCTCAATTAGGAACAACATACTCCAAGATACAATCAATGGATTTTCATTTATGTGCTTTAGGGTGAGTACTAATCCGGATATTATTGAATATCACATACCTAAAGAGGCATTTTGCAAGTTTTTAGTGAAAAGAATCTATACAATAGCCTTTTTATTTGATGACTAAAACATCATTAAATTAGCAGACTAACACCTCATTAGTTCAGCGCTGACTGCAGCCTATTTTCCCTGATTATACTTCAGGTCAGAAGCTCCAGCGCTGTTCTGCGGATGTGACGTCAAGCGCGTCTATTTTACTCGACCGACATCCAACTAAACTCAGAAACCAATGGAGACATAGGATGAAAAAAAATAACATAAATAAGTTAATAAAAGAATGAACAGAGGAGTCCTTTAATTCTGTATTTTGGCCACAAGTGGCAGTATCATTAGACTACTCTGTAATGCCTTTTTAAGTGATCGATTAGAGGTACTTGAATCAGTATAAACAAGTCATGTCAGGCAAGTTAAACAAAATACCAAAACTACCTTGTAGAACTGAAAACAGTAAAAAACAATATTAGGTCATCTTTTAGGGCTACGAAGGGACAAAGTTGACCACGTGTTCTTCTTCTATTGCTGTACAGCCACACACCTTTTGCAGCTATTAATATGTTTTTATCATATTTTAGGCCATATTTTTTATGTTTTCCTGGAGCAGATCAGACTTTTTGTTAAATTCTAAAATAGGCCTTTGTAACACGTTTTGATGTGTGCTTAGGACACAACACTTAGGAAATTCCTTAGAACAAGGAATTTGAATTGGCCTTGATGGTGCAGACTAATTATATATATATATATATATATATATATATATATATATATATATATATATATATATATATATATATATATATATATATATTTATATATATATATATATATATATATATATATATATATATATATATATATATATACAGAATACAGGATCTATGAATACACTACGAAAACATACAATATATTATATGCAATACATAGTATATAGCTATAGCTATATACACAGTAGACTGTGCATTAATGTCACACAGGAGGTCTGGAGATGCTAGGTTAGTGTAGCATCTAGGTCCTGAACGGGGGAGTGAGAATAGCAGTGTCAGTGTCACGGGGTTCCCTGGGCTTGTTGATAAGGCCGGTAGCAGACTGCAAGAAGCAGTTCTTGTGGCGTCAGGTTTTGGTCCTGATGGACCGCAGCCTACTACCAGAGGGAAGTGACTGAAATAGTTTTTGGCTGGGGTGCGAGGGCTCAGCCATAATGAATGCCTCAGAGTCCTGGAGGCGTACAGATCCTGGAGAGATGGAAGATTACAGCCAATCACATTCTTTGCGGGCCAGATAACACGCTGCAGTCTGCCCTTGTCCAGATGGTGATGGAGGAGGTGAGGATGGACTCAGTGATGGAGGAGTAGAAGTGCACCATCATTGTCTGAGCAGGTTGAATTTTTTCAGCTGCAGCAGGAAGGACATCCTCTGCTGGGCTTTCTTGGTGAGGAAGTTGATGTTCAGCTCCAACTTTAGGTCCTGTAAGACAATAGTTCCTAGGAAAGACTCCACAGTGTAAATTGTGGAGTC